AGGACTGGCACTCGTCGTAGTGCTTCATCAGGACATCCAAAAGAGGCTTCGAGACAAACACACCGGCACCGCCGAATGCAATGTGGCCGAAAGTATCCACCTGCCAGCTGGCCTCGGACAGAGATCCAATGTAGTGCTTCTTGTTCTCATCAAAGAGCTTCAATTCCTCGGCGATAGTGGGGAGCGACAGGAAGAAGGTATCATCATCACTAAAACCAACCCAAGTGGTGTGCGGGCGGTGCTTACGAATGTGCTCGGTGAACGCCTCGACCATACCAAAGTAACGGGCAGTGAAGTCGAGCGGAGAGGCCTTGAGAGTCAAGTCCAGACCGCGGTTGCGGAAGTAGGTCTCCTGCTTCTCCAGATCGTCGTCAGACTCAGGGACCAGAACAATCAGACCGGCCTTGGTGTTTCCGTAGGAGTAAAGCAGAGAGGGGAGCAGGCGGTCCAGACGGTCCACGGTAGTGGCCAGACCGAACAGAAGCTTGGAGGTCTCCTCGACATCGTCATCGGCGGCCACATCGACGTCGATGATCTCGGGACAGACAAAGTTTTCCGGCTTGTTCTCGGGAGACACGACCATACCGCGCTCCATGACAACCATGGGCGGGAGCACAGGCTTCTCGATTTCCTCCAAAGTGTGGAACTCGGTGCGAGGGTTCACATGACGAGGACGGAAATAGGCGCGAGTGTAGTTCTTGCGCGGGAGCCATTCAGGGAAGGGAAGGGGAGCGGCCAATTTCGGGTCAGCCTCACAGGTGCTGCTGGTGGGCTGCTGCGAATCAGATGGTGCCGGCGTCTGTACTTGAGGTTGCTTGTTTCCACCGAAGGAGGCCCGATCAATTGGGTGCTTGAACCGAAGGAAAGCCGAACGGTCGTAGCGTTCCATGCAAAAGAAGAATATTCCGATGGTCACCAGAGCCACCAACGGGAATACCGTCTTCATCCGAAACAGAGGCATTTTGGCTTTTCCAGTATTGAGCGATGACTTTTCAAACATGTAAATAGAAGAAGGCGAGGCGAAATCGGGGCAGATGAACCCTGGAATTAAAAGTTATGGGTTCGGCGTGCGCGTGCGAGGTGTCGTATCCCGGGAATATCGTGCAGCAAAAGCTGGTAGAAAGAGGCAATTCTCAGTCGGGGGAAGAGTCAAATAAACGAGTGTTCCAAGAGTGGATTAAAGAGTGGCAGGCAAATAAAGTGCCGAGATATTTCAACGAGAGGCTGGCAGCGTCGGGACCTGCGACACGGTCCAAAGGGGGGAGCGTCTGTAAAGGGGGAAGTAGGAGAACAGGAATAGAACAGAGAAGCAAGACTAACGCGGCTGGACGATGTGCCCAGTCCGAGTGAAAAGTCGATGGGAGCTTGTAGTCTTGTGTCGTGAAGTTGTTGGAGGAGGAAAGAAAAAGGGAGGCCGCCGAAGCAATTAACGGGACAGGGTTGGCTGTGTATGGGTATTACCGTAATATATTACTTAGATCTTTTTCTTTTTTTAACTTCTTTTTCTATCCGTTTTCTACATCGGTGTACGGAGTACGTGTGTACATATCGGCCCTCCGCCATTCTCCGTTTAGTATTCTGTCTTCAGTGATATCAGAATATATTGCTGGATATTGACATCTTGGTATCCCATCCTTCGGTTGCCGTGTTGATGCCAAGTTGAAATGCAGGAACGGAGCCCTTCGACAGGACCATCTTAAATGATATGTGGCTTATACTTTGTTTCCTTTTGCTTCGTTTTACCTGTTGAACCTAAGTGTCGATCATGACGGAAAAAGGAACGTTGTTAGCCCTGGGAGTGATCAACCCCCTTCCAGGTTCAGTGGAATACGCCGCCATGAATCTGATGATCGGCACTGGTTTTTTAATTCACTTTCCCTGTCTTGAGCACAACAATAATATTTTTGTCTAACCCGGGCACAGGTGTGGTTGTTCAAGTCGGAAATGATCATATGGCCCTTGACACTCCAAAATAAGCATGTTTCAAGTATCTAGAAGGCTGTTTTCGGCGACACATTTGAATGCAGGCTCGCGTGAGGATTCCGATGAGCTGTTTGGGACATCTGCATAAATAAATCTGTATGATAGGCCAGAAACTCATGCCTACCAAAATAACTCCGATTGCTCTCTCCTAGCGTCTCTATATGTACGTTGTACGAAATCGTGAGTACTTGTTTCTGCATATAGATGCTACTATGTACTCCGTATAGATACGCTATGTATCCGAATTCGTCGGATTGCACCTAGCTGACTGCGCCTGAGCCTCAACCTCAATAATCCAGCAAACCCGGACAATATAAGCGACTAAAAACATCCGTTCCTATCCCGAGATCCCATCATGATGATGTGAACATAATAACTACGAACTGGAGATCACGTCACTGTTATCATGGCGCTTTGACCATCAAAGCAAAAGGGGCGGACTAGTCTTTGGGAAAGGGTCTGTATAAAAGTTATACGGAAGACGGAGTATTAACTATGAACTACCCTGACCCTGTCGCGGTATCAACCGGAAAGGACAGGTATACAACAATTGTACTCCGTATCAGAAGCAAAATGAGCCAGGGAAATGATCAGAGACGATCGCCCTGGCACCCAGCCGCGTCAACCAGTCAAAATCAGCCGGAGGGGCAAATGAGGCCAATGCCCCCCCACAGACACGCGTCCTTCCTGACGACGTTATCATAATGCTGGGCGCTGGTATTCGTATTCTCAAATATAGTACATTATCTGGATGTTCAGCCCTTATTTAATCTGTCTTTTTGGGGACATTCCCAAGGATGTCTCGCAATTTGCAAATCTATTTATATAAGACGAGAAGTTCGGTAAAAAGAATGGACGATTGAAGCTTATCGGGTAACATATTTCCAGTGGCGATAGCATTTCCTGGGCCATGGATTTCCTCACAGCCAAGTGGGCCGGGATCGACAGCCATTTAAATGGGTATTTTAAATGATGGTAGTTCATGCTTTGATTTATTTTGTTTCATCGTTCAATATGTACGAACTCGACTGAAGTTTTCCGGGGAGAACACTTGTATACTGTTTTAGTTAAGAACAACGTGCGGAGTATGTACAGAGGACGGAGTACACTGTATATCGATGTACAATAGTGAAGGCACCTGAACTGTGGAGAATCATCCACTTTTGTCCAGGCCCATTGTCATGGCATTTACAGCATCGAATGGTACTACAACATACAAATAGGTACGTACTAATATGGCACGCGTTTTGCCAGGGTTGCTTATAGCATCCAAAGAGTACTAACTAACTAGTTAGTCCCTTGTCCAGTGTATCAGATTAAAAAAGCCGTGTCAGCACTTACGAATCCCTTGTTAATACATAATACAATCCCTGTCACGAAACAGCCGCTAATAAAAAGATATGTCAGTCATCTTTGTGGCATTTTAAGCTTGAACAGTCGCCTTGGCGTTGCTGTCAAAGCGGTAAAAGGGGGAGATTCCACGCTCAAGGGTCTTTCTATCAACTGAATTTTTCTTCTCTGTATAATACACTGTAAGACGAAGAGTGCATTTCTTCTTATGAGTTTGGCCATATGAAATTTGGGAATACGCCGCGGAACTGTTTCTTTCGCTTCACATGTATACAAAGTAGAAGGGCCTTGAACTGTTCGACTTTCATCCTCCATCCTCAACCATCGACATAGATATTCGAGATCCCTCGACTGCGTCTATACGATGCTTATTTCTGAGTGCAATACTCCAGAAAGGACCACTTTGAAGGTTCTCTAGAAGCTATATATTCGCCCGTACTTTAAGACTTGCTTTGGTTTGTCTGAGTATTATGAGCGCGGCATAGCAACGATAATGGTTTGGGGCTAAAAACTGCTGCTGGTCATTTTAACACTCGGTCCTTATAGCCAAGCAGTGGCTCGCCGATGGAAGTTGTAATCTGAGTGGAGTTATTTTTAATCAATCAGGTACTTGATAGATATGAGAGCGCAATTTCAATGAATACTATATTATAATAAATATCGAGCGAGAATAGTGATTAAAGCCCTCGTCGCTTCACAGGCCATTCATGACTCTTGATCATGCTACTCGACTCTCTGGTCCTTGACGGAGGCCTTTGTTGTCCAATATTCGCTTGGAGCTTCGGGGTGCCAGGCTTTTTCATTTCGGTCAGAATACTTTCTCGTTCGAGGCCATCTCTCAACTTTCAGTATTCTTTGTAGAGATCACGCATAGCTGAAGAAGAAGTAAGCGTAGGCCGAGAACGGTCTTTCTCCGGTCTTCTTGTTGCATGGTTTTCAGTAGGGGTTTGACCGATCATCCCCAAGAGAATGTGGTTTGGTTTTGAATGCATTTGACCGTGCGTTGTTTCGAGGTCCAAAAGCCTCCGGTGACATCCATAAGCACCACATCTGCACAGGTTCTCTGTCAGATCTCCTATCGCCTTTGGAAAGACGGCAAGTAGGATTGGCACAGATAGCCCTGATACCGCTGGCAATACCTGTGGCAGGTGTAGCAGCTGTATAGCCCAAGCGGATTGCCACTATCCGCAAGGGATTAGAAACAAGAAATAGAAAATCTCTCAGGTGCGGCAAAGGTGTCCATCATTGAATTAGATGCTGTCATACATCCCCACTGGGCACATTGTGACGTCTGCCGGGCGCCTCGATTTCGGAGGCCTTGTGTGAAAGGTCAGGCGGAATTGAGCCTTCCGAACGCGGTGTACCAGGATATTTCCACTTGTGTGCATTCAGCATTCACTATGGAGTGGAGTGGGACGGAGAGATAGGTGTGAGAGAGAAGGAGAGTTCACCGGACTGAGTCAACTCTCCTCTTCACATACACTTGACTTCCCCCGCGCTTTTAGACTGCAGCACTTGTTCGCTCATTATTTATTATAGACTTCGTTTCGTGCGCAATCTAGACAGGACACAAAGCACAACAAAAGTCCTAGGCACACCTCAACGTACCCCCGCCATGGCAACCTCACCCCGCTATCTGACCGGCGACACCGCGGGGAAGTAAAGGTATGCGCATGGGGTGCGATGCACGGGACGGTGGCGGAAAGCTCGCAGGACTGGGATTGACTCGTCTCTTTTCTTTTAGGAAAGCAGGTCGTCTTCGTCACAAATAACAGCACGAAATCTCGCGCAGACTACAAGAAGAAGCTAGATGGCTTGGGGATCCCAAGCAACACGGTACGTCATAGTCTTCCATTTAATGGCCGAATGTCTCTAACTATTCGGATTAGGAGGAAGTATTCTCCTCTTCGTATAGCGCATCTATCTACATCTCCCGTATTCTCAACCTTCCCGAAATAAGCGCAAGGTCTTCGTGATCGGAGAAACCAGCATCGAGCAAGAGCTCCGCTCCGAAAATGTCCCTTTTATCGGGGGTACGGACCCTGCTTATCGTCGCGATATCACCCCAGAGGATTACAAACGCATTGCGGCCGGCGATTCTTCCCTACTTGACCCAGATGTCGGAGTCGTGCTGGTCGGACTGGACTCTCATATCAACTATCTAAAGATGGCTTTGGCGTACCACTACGTTAAGCGCGGCGCCGTGTTCCTGGCCACAGACATCGACTCCACCCTGTCCAACTCGGGGACTCTGTTCCCCGGCGCGGGATCAATGAGTGCGCCCCTCATTATGATCTGGGGCTGGAGCCCGTGTCTCTCGGAAAGCCGGACCAGGCGATAATGGATGCCATTGAGGGGAAGTTCAAGTCTGACCGCGCTCGCGCGTGCATGGTCGGAGTCCGGGCTAACACCGACGTTCGTTTTGGCTTGGAGAGTCAGCTCGGAGGTACCCTGGCGGTTTTGACTGGAGTTAGCTCTAAGGAGGACTTTTTGGATGGTCCTATCAGGCCGATGGCTTATCTGGACAAGCTTTCTGATATTCTCGCGTCGGCGTCGAACTGACGAGCTCGGACTGTTGCTGATTTGGTTGAAGTAGAACTAGACCGGGATGAATTACGCAGGACTCGCACGACTGTCGTATATACTGCAGGATGTCCTTAGATTATATATACAGGCTGCCATGAGATTCGATACCTCGATTGATGTACAGACCCTGATACAAAAGTATTTACCCACCCGCATTTTTACCCCGCCACTACAAAATATATATTTCTCCATTTATACGTAGCACTACCAATTTTTGAGCTATACGAATTTTAAAATATAGGTTTTAAAACCTGAAGACCTCTCGCTTAAGACCCACATTTAATATTTTGTGTACCCCTCAGCTTTAAGTACAGCCCTGCAACGTCTCGCTATGCTCAAAACCAAACTATCTAGCTTCGACTGCGGTATTGCGTCCTATGCTTCCTTTATGCACCTTTTGAACACTATCCAACTCTCCTCCGACCGGCCTATGTGGATCAACTCGGAATATAACTCAAAGAGCTTGACTTTTAACCACCGCTAGACAAGTTCAATAGGGTTTAAATCAGGTGAGTGCGTTGGCCACTCCTCGAGTATACCCCATGGGTTTCAAACCACTCCTATATAAGTAATGTAGTATGGATCCGTGTATTATCTTGCTAGAAGATGAAACTAGGCCTGTAGATTTGAATCAAGCCCCTTTCGAGTGCCCTAATGTACGAGACCGCGGTATACCCGGTCTTTAAAGACTCGGGGTCCAATTCCTTCTCCCGCTCTATTATAACCAGCTCTGAACGACCACCAAGCTAGATAGCACCCTAAACCATTTGGGATATATCTTTGACGTGCGCTTTCGTATTTATAAGGTCCCTTCGGTGAGCCTTAGACTGAAAACGCTAGCACTATTAGGGTCTAGAGTTTGAGGTTCGTTAAACGGAACACTCGTCCGTAAAGATCCAACCTTAAACGCCATTTCCCGGCTAATTTCGAAGCCAAGGCCATGTAAAGTTATATTGTTCAATAGCTAAATCCCTTCTGATCGGGATTTTACGCCTTGATCGGTATTTTAGGAGGCGGAACTGCTTTAAAACCTAGATGGTAAGCGACCGGGACGGATTACCAGGTGTGATTGCACTTAGCTGTTTATATGTGTAAAAGGGATCCCGGCGAGCCTGGAGATAGATATAATTACGAGTCTGATCACTAAACTCCTTTGGGCGAGCACTACGAGGGAGCGATTCAATAGCGTTGTGCTATTTAAAGCGCTGAATTGTATTGAATATCGTTTTGCGGGTGCACCTAAAGTCAATGGCTAGCTTTGACTGCGAAATACCGGCTTGATAGGCATAGATATAGATGAGCGTTGCTCATATGAAAGCTCACCTTTTGCTCTACGTAATGAGTTATTTTCTATGCCTGAGAGAGGCAATGGAGACGACCGCCTCGCCTGTATAGGTATCCTCGCGTCGATTCCCCGGCTTCTGGTTAGGTGAAGAAATTATGGTAGAGCATATAGAATAGATTACTGGCGAAGATGGTGCCGACGAAGGGCTGATTTCGTATAGGGTCGAATGGAGGCGCCTTAGGGGTGAGGAATATTAACTACACGATGGCATTGATTGCAAATAATATGATTGAACAGCTACAGAAGACATTGGTTAGTATTAACCCAGCATACATGTATAAAAGCTTCCGGCCCCCAATACGCTGGTGCAGAAAGGTAAGGGAAGCTCACTCAATATAGGACAATGCGGAGAGCTCGTGGTATACTAGGATATCGAGATCGCGGAGTAATCGATCAATGAACGCAACCTTTGCAGCCGACTGGATCTTCTTCACGCGCCCATCCGGGAGTGAGAGAGAGAGAGAGAGCTCGTCTGCCGCTCTACGGAGTCGGCGGCACTTCTATAAGGTATGCCGGACACGTCAGCGATGTATTTCGCATCTCGAAAGACATCTGGAGTGGCCATGGAGGCTCATGAGGACATGACTGGCAGTTTAAAGAAAGACTATGGGAGAAATATAAGCGAGAGTTTCACGAGAGCTGTTCCTATGGGACACCACAGCGATGAGCGGAATGTGAGAAGCGATGATGATGTGTCTGGGGAGGAACGTGGAGTAGCCGATAGGTACCATCTCATGTCAGGTGGGAAACGGACTTTCCTCGGCCCGATTCCGCGATGGGTGTCATTGCAATCCTGCCCAGAATAGCGAGACTGATGGCGATACATTTGGTGTCGACAATATAATAATCAGTTCTCAATGCAATGGATCAAACTATATACGGTATGGTTTCGGCGGATGTGAGTCCTCTTTTACTTTTTAGTTCATAGCTGAATGGCAGTTTCCCATGAGCATGTCTCTGTGGCGCAATTGGTTAGCGCGTCTGACTGTTAATCAGGAGGTTGGAAGTTCGAGCCTTCCCAGGGACGTCCCTTTTTTGTTTTTAAAAATTTCGCCCCTATACGTCGTACATCGTACCCGGATGGATAGTGCTTTGACTAAGAAACAATTGCATAGTCTGCTTCAATACAGCTCCCTGTGGTGGTTACAGCTATCTTCAATATTGTGTTAGTTATCGATGTTGGAAAGCTTGGTGCCTGACCGCCACGGCGGGCCATGATCTCACGCCTGATCATATCTTTCTCCAGTCGATATCCGACGGAGCCACGCCAACATAAGTCTCTGTGGCGCAATTGGTTAGCGCGTCTGACTGTTAATCAGGAGGTTGGAAGTTCGAGCCTTCCCAGGGACGGCTCTTTTTTTGCCCTAGAATTCTGTCTACTGGGCTCATAGCCTGTATCCATATGCACGCACATATGCAATTCACGATGTGACTGTGATGACCTTGATGAAGATGGGGGATGGATATCCGTTTAGAATTGGGAAACTGCCTCTTCTGCCCAAGTTACCCGCGTTTGTATAAGAAGTCGTCTAGGTGGCCATCTTCATCATCTTCAAGTTCCTCTTTCCCTTCTTCATGCTTAAAGTTTCTCGCTTCCGATGCCTTTCGATAGAGTTGAATCCAAGTCTTAATGACTGTAACATGACCCAGGTGTCTACCTACTACGCCTTCTAAGAGATAGGAGGACAGGTCAGCTTTCTACAGCCAATGTGCCACTAATCCCTTCTGGGCCAGCTCCATTAGGCGTCCTGTCTATGGTGCCTGGCCAGTATCTAGTTGAACTATGGTCGTGTATACCATGATTCAGTGTGGCATCTGGGGGAGATGAGGAATTCTTATCCATTGCAACGGTGCTGTGTGACAGCGAAGTACGGAGGCATGCTCGGCAGAGATCAATGTAAAAGAACAAGAAGAAAGGAAGGGAAAAAAGGGGAAAAAAAGAAACGTCCCTGGGAAGGCTCGAACTTCCAACCTCCTGATTAACAGTCAGACGCGCTAACCAATTGCGCCACAGAGACATGTTATGTTTGATTTTCCCATTTGTCCTTAGTAGTTAATCTGACATCTCTGCTGCGGCTGAGGTGGTGATCGGATGTTCAGCCACTGTGTATTTCATAGATTCAGTATATGATAGATAAGAAGAGTCTTGTAGAATTTGGAATCGCTAGGGAGAGGTGGAAGCCAACCGATGTATCTGAGTCCTAAGGCCTCAAAGTAGGATGAAGATGAACGTAACTGTTTGGCTGCCTGGTGCAGAGGGTTGGGCCAGCACTTAGACCCCGACCCATTGAATTGATCCCCACTCATAGGAATATGTTACTATACATTGGATATTGTCTATCAATATCGCCGCCATACCGAACCTTGGAAGGTTACGGTATTGATTATTCAGCGGTCGCCTCGACGGCCAAGACAAAAACCGCTCCCAATTATGCGATTGCATCGTACTCTCTTATCGTCCCATATTTTCTCATAATCTTCTTTTCTGGTTCTACCGTTGAATTCATTGTCCATGATTATGCACCTGTGACAGTCCAACTTCTACCACGTGAATGTTGTGGAGAGCCACCTTCTTGATCTCATAATGCTGATTTTGAACGATCGTTAACCCTAGGTGGGATCCACATTTCTCTACAATGTCGGTCGTTTTGACCACCGTTTCTGTTCTAGACTGTCTATCTATCTATTTATTTTTTGATAAATGGAATTCGAGTATAGTGGCTCAACAATATGGTAACATAGACTTCCACTGCCAAGCGGACGATTAGTATTGAGTCGTAGTGGGCAATTTAAACTTGACATGGTGCGAGGAAATTCGTTTATCCTGCAGAGTCGTCTTGGTAGTTACTATATTGTATTGTGATATACATTAGCCACAGTGTGGCTAGTGTCAATTTTTACAATACGAAACGCCTTCTATATCTGGGCACATGTAACGTACGACGAGACATCTATGTATGATGAAACCCAACAGAGCCTCCTAGAAATTCGTTAGCTCACTCCGTTCTGGTTGCTTCCCGACCCTTACTGCATGGACGGATTAAGCGTGTAAGCTGTTCTATTATAGCTCCTAATACCGTATATCTGTAACCAGAGTGAAGTCTGGCACCTACCGCAGTTGACCACATGTGAACATTTCGATACGGGAGAGAAAGGGGAAAGTTAACTAACCACAACTGGGGCGTCATGCCTGTGAACATATTCTAGAAGCGTTATTATTCTGTCACGCTATTCATTGTATTGTGAATTTATTTTCGTACAGTTCCTATCTTGCCCTTACAGAAGCAAGAGCCTTACGTGATAAGAGGTTCAAGCGTTCTCATTTCTGAAAGCCCACTGAGTACCATTATATATCAATCACTGCATAGAGAGGCATCGTAATCTAATTGGGCCACCTACAGAATCTACCGGGTAGTTTGTGGGACAGGAACTTGACCAGAGGCAAGAAAGAAAATATCTTAGAGTAATATGGAGGAGTAGGATAAGGATACATCTTGAGTAGAATAAAGCATAATACGAGTCCTTTATGTTCATGAACTTCCTGAGCAAAGTATCTCCTTTTTTGGCTTTCTGGTCCTTGATATAGACTTTGCCTCATCGTAACGGAAAGAAACTAAGGGTGCCATGCCGCAAGAATACTTGCCATATATGGTTACGGTGCCACATCTTTGCAGTGAGGAAAGATCAGTACGAACATTCCTAAGGCCATAGTTAAACATATGACACTTGCCGCCTTGGCGACACATCTTTTATTTGGCTAAGACTCTCATTGAACTGGGGCGAAGGTCAAAGATGGTGCGGCTTAAATGATAACCTGCGCCTCTGCCCCACTCTGATCCGGTGGGCTGACATCCGGTGGGCAGCCGTCGCGAAATATTGTGTCCATGTTCACAGGATAACCCCTCACGTCACCTTTCTAGGGAGCGCAGTCATAATATGCCACAGTTTCAATGTCAGGCCCCCGGATGCACCTCGAGCTACCGTCGTAAAGAGCATCTCCGACGCCACGAAGCGCAACATCGTGGAAATCACCTTCGCACTTGTTCAATTTGTGGTCGTGCCTTTTCTCGCAGGTAGAGTGATCCTTGACTTCAGATATGATTGATCATTCAATAATGGATAGCTATGCAGTGACAGTCTTCGACGTCATATTCGTCGCGATCATGAAGTCCCTGGACGACCTCTCGCTCGCGCTACACAGGCCTGCAGAAGTTGTCGTATGTCCAAGACACGGTGCCAGGGAGGCTCACCATGTACGGAGTGCTCTTTGAAGGGGAATTTGTGTATCTTTGATGGTCCTGTTCCCCCGGATACCGAGCCCGCTCTACCAGATCCCGAAGAAGAGCCCCGGGAGTACGGCAGTGAGAATGATCCGATCAATACCTCCCTCGAGAATAACACCCGAGTTGACCATTACATCCATCTTTACTTCACGCATTTTCATCAACACTGGCCAATCCTGCATCGACACACCTTCAGTGTTCCTAGCGAGCCCCCATTGCTGCTTCACGCAGTGTTGATGATTGGCCTCTGGGTCAGTGGGAGCCCGGCGGCGCAGCAAAAAGCTCGGAACTTGCATTCCAAGCTCGGACTGGCGATTTTAGCACAGCGGGTAAGTTACCCAGAGGCACTTGTTCAATCTGAAAGATTTGGTCCAATTCATTGATTATTAATTCGTAGGACAACTGGGAACGATTGCCGGTGGAAGGGGAGCACGATAACGAAGCTTCAGACAGCCCACTTTCACGATGGCCGATTGCAACCTACCAAGGCATTCTTCTCTACATCATATTCTCATTACTGGCATCGATTCCGATTGGTCTCGAACTTAACCTCAGCCTAACCATACCTTTGCCTGACCGTCAAATCCTTTCCGCTCTGATCGCAACCTGTCTGCGGAACAACCTATTCTACTATCCCAATATGCTTACAAGGTACCAACACGTGGAGTCTATTACCTGCATGTGGGTGGGAGTCGAAGAGATCAAAAGGTTCGGTTTGGCCTTGTACAAGGTTTCTCGGCTTTGTGGAAGGAGGAGTTGCTTGGGAGAGTCCGATGAGACTGATGGTCGACTTCTTCGCCTCTCAGACCTACAGTTCCCTATGCCGGATAGGAAGAATTTCTGGGATGCTGGCTCGAATGCAGAATTGGCTCGACTTCTTTTGATATACTCTAGAAGAGAAGATAAATCGGATGACGCTAGGGGTACCAAATGGATTTCACAAAGTGGAATTTTATTGGAAAGTGACGAAAATTGGTGGAATTGACTCACTAGGGTATTCCGAAAGTTAGCCTGTCCATGAACCTGCTTTTCGTCACAACATAGCTATCTTGGATTTCTATTGCTCTCGACCTCAGCTAGGGAGAGAAATTCATTCGATGAATCGAAGTAAACATCAAAAACATAACCGACTTTTTCTAATCTTTGATTGATCACACACAATGCCACAAGGACCATCCACCTTCACGCTCACTAGCCAACCATCACCGGGGTTTCCTCGCCAGGAGTAAGCCAGAAAACATTATCTGACACCTTTTGGTCGTCAAAGACCTTCGCCAAATCGGCCTGATGTTCAGTGAAATGTTCCCACGATTCAAAGTGGATAGGAACCATCCGATCGACATTCAGCACACGCATCAAGTGAGCAGCTTGCTTCCCATCGAAAGTAATTTGTAGAACACCGTTAGGGTGCTCAAAAAGCGCATTCCCAAGATTCAAGACAGCAACGGAAACATGCCACTTGTTCTTGATCTCCGCCAACTCGTCAATCCACACAGTATCTCCAGAGAAGTACACCACATTTGGCAGACCGGCCTCATTAACGCCGAAGGAGTCGCACTCGACAATGAAACCGGTCACCTCGCCACCAGGGAAGTGCTTGCAGGGGGTGCCGGTAATACGGAAATCTTTGCCTCCGAGTCTGGCAGAGATGGTCTGCTAAGGGCGAAGGCCGACGACTCCAGGGCGTGGCTGGAGGTTGTGCGCACCGTCAGGTGTGGTGAAGACATGGCGGCCGTCGAGTAGCTGGCAGCCTAGAGGATCGAGGTTATCGACGTGGTCTTCGTGGCTCAGCAAGACCGCATCGATGGGTGGAATATCGTGCAATTCGAGGGCTGGTCCCTCAAAACTGCGCAGAATCCCCGCTGGAGGCTGACACTCGAAGCCGAAGTCCACAAGGTTGGGGGCCTTGGACCAGCCGTCGTAGATGTATTCAGAACCTGCAGGGCAGAATACAGGATCGGTGAGGAATCGCACACCGTCAATGTTGATGATCGCCGTGGCAGTCGTGATATGGGTGATGGAAACATTGCCTTTGAAGGTGGACATAGTGCCGTTGGATTGGGAAGACTTTTGGGAGGGATTATTGGCTTGATACAATGACAGACTGAAGAATGGTGATGTGAAAAGCCGAACAGCAGTGCTTTTTGGACTTATGTAGTTTGTCATTCCTGATACATCGTTCTTCATCCCACCGTGGACCATGTATGGCATGCCAAACCGCCAAACGTGTGTCGATTTCTTCATAAGCTATAGCCCTGATGATAAATTCATAGTGGAGAGTAATGTGAGATATTAATATATGATGTTTCGCATTGATAATGCTTTTGACATACATATACTCTCGAGTGTTGGTGGGCGTCTTGCGTCTCAGTCATCATCCCACTATCCCACAGGCCCATCCCACCCAACCCACAGCCTAATGATGAATATCACAAAGCTTTCGAGCCATCAGAATTGGCCAGGCTTCCTCGGCAACATTCTTCATTTCGGTTCTTCTTTGGGCCTATATGGTCAGGCCGACCTGGCACCCCTTGGCCCCTCTCACATCGGGAAAAAACCTAGACGCATCGACCTACTCATACCAAACTTTTCTCTTACATGACACGGGTATCGTCTATAATCTTACCAGATATTGACGGCCCTCAGGCCTGGGTTATGGTCGTCGCGGTTTTCTGGAATAATGCCCATCACTGGGGAATCCTCTCAGTGAGTCAACCCAATCGTTGAGAATCGAGAGACATACAAGAAGGCCCTCGGGGTCATTCTAGAAACTGCTGCACTGCTAGGTGCATCCTGGAGCACGAAAATCTGGCAGCTATACCTGAGCCAGCGCGTTTGTTCTGGCTGGGGACTGGGAATGCAGTACCTTTCAACGACCTATTTGATCCCCCAATGGTTTGACAAATACGCGGTCTTGCAGCAGGCATATGCACTGCTGGTACGGGTACTGGTGGGATAATTTACTCTCTAGCCAGTCATGCTATGCTAGCGCGATTCGGCATTCCATGGTCTTATCGTATCCTGGCAATTGTCCAGTTGGTGGCCAACGCTATCTGTGTGCTCGTCATTCGGGATAGGAGTCCGCAGGGGGTCGGGGAGTACCAAATGCCGAAAATCAACTTCCGACTCTATCTCCGTTACGAGATGTGGTTGTTTATCGGATGGAGCTTCTTCAGTGTCATGGGGTTCATAGTTATCTGGTTCTCGCTTGCCACTTACGGAAGAAGTGTTGGTCTGACTTACACGCAAGGCTCTATTGTCACGGCTGTTATGAATATTGGACAGATGTTTGGACGTCCCACAGTGGGTCTCCTGAGTGATCGAATTGGACGTATCAATATGGCTGCCTTTGCTACTTGCATTAGCGGCTTGCTTTGTCTTTTGCTATGGGTATTTGCTCGAACATATGCATCACTTGCAATCTTTGCTTTGCTTGCGGGCATCTTCTTTGGCACCTTTTGGACCGTGAGTCTGCGTTTCGTTCAAGTTAAGTTTTCTGTTCTATGCTAACTATCGCTAGGTTGTTGGCCCCTTGGGTGCGGAAGTGATTGGCTTGGATGACCTCCAGTCAGGTTTAACTATAATGTGGTTGACCTGCGCTATTCCTGCAACCTGTATGGCCTTTTTCCCCATGAGCCGCTCCTTGAAACTTGACTATGTGACTGACAATTGCATACAGTCGGTGAAGCCATTGGGCTTGTACTTCGCACATCTGGGTTACACGAATATTTAGGCACGCAATTATTTACCGGCTTCATGTATATAGGGGCTTTCCTTTTCCTGGTGCTCTTGCGGAGTTGGAAACTAAAACGTCACGAACTTGACTCGCTAACTAACATTTCAGTGTCGTCCAGGGACATTGGCAATGGAGGCATGGTTTCGGTGGTTCATCTGCCTGGAAAGTTTCATGAAAATGCTAGACATCTGATATCTTGGGGAAAGGTGTGAAAAATCTCTGTTTAGATTGTTTTGTGATTCGCATTATTTATGGCTAGCTAAGATATCTGCACATCTCATTAAAATCTAGTTATTCCCACCTCAAGATATATAATAAAGTTGGTCCTTTTGAGAATTGTCAGGATGAACAGCCGTCCAAGGTAGGATCGGTAGGATCTTGAATAATCTGTATTATATTTATACCATAACTGAAAAGGAAGGCTGTAAATCCTGTAAGCTGGGAGAGCTGGCCAATAAACAGGGAAATGAGTTGGATTTTGTGCTGGGGGCTTGGCTGGTTTAGTGAGAGAAAGGGGGCCATGGTTGGCGAAGAGTCAGTATTGGGGCTAGAAAGAAACTGTATGTGTACTGCAATGCTATTCTATGCTTTTCTCAATATTCCAGGATCCTACATTTATGACGGTCTTGCCCGGTAACCCAGTCAAGCCTCCCACTTCTCGCACGAATCTTCTACCCAGTCAAGGCTAGTGAGCGGCGCTTCACGATCGTGTTACAGGAAATTTGGTCTACACTTATCACTGTTATCCCTCAAATTGGCTTTCTTTTGATGTGAGCAGTCTCTCTAGTTGAGTTCAAATATCTTACGCGTTGAATGGCGACGGGATCGGTTCAACTTTTGAAGAGGTTTGAGTTGTTCATAAGTTGTATGTACAATAGAACAGTATCCACCCCACCAAATCACGAGCTGATCTCACCTTCAGAGACAATTGTGGCAAAGCCATCGGCTAATTCGCTGAGAACCACAGAGAGCACAGTCTCCGCGTTCGCACCAGGGATGTTGCGATCGCCCACAGCATCCCGCACAACGAGCACATCATATCCAAGCTCACTACCGACACGTGCAGTGGTAGAAATGCAAATGTGCGATATGTAGCCAACCAGTACAATCTTCTGTCCTACTTCTCCCAGTCCCTGCAAGTAATCATGCAGATCGGTCTTAGCAAAAGAACTGGGGAAGTTCTTGGTGACCACCTTTTCGTTCGGCTTAGATGTCAGCTCTTCAAATTCCTGCGCGAGAGCAGTGCCGGGTGTGAAGACAGGCGCCCCGGCAGGCACTTCGTGCACGACGTGGACAATGTTCTTGCCGTTGCCATCCTGTCGATACTTTCCCAGCAGCTTGGCAATAACCTTGCGAGTCTCCGCGACTTTTTCAACCACGAGAAGGCCTGTGGCTTACTCGTTTTGAGCGTCGACAATGATGAGAGTCGAATCACTGGTGGAGGCCGAGGAAGGGGGAATGCCGACGAGTTGACGGAACGACTTGACAGTGGAAGACATGATGAGATGCGGAGGCCGGTAAAAGGATGATCAAATATGAGAGTTTTGTTATTTGAGTTGATGGGCCTTTAATCTCTGGATGTAGTGGTTCTGATATGTGAAGAGGGGTGGTGCTGTCCTAGCCATACATGAGTGGGGCCGGTGGGCTTTCGGCTTGTGTAGCCCACCGGGCACCTTCTTACAAATGTGGAGGCGGAGTGAATTGTCGGCGGTGGAAATAGTACCTTGAACACTCATCGCTGACCCGGATCGCACGAATAATCAGATCAGTAAGTCTCCGAGACTCCAATGACTTCGGCTACTTAACAGTCTACATCGCATATAGGTTCCACCTGTCTACTAATCCCGGTTCCCCACCTGGGCATATGATGAACGTCAGAGATCCAGGGAATTTCTTCTTGAACATGAGGATGATGTTATGGATTTTTCATTACTTGCTTATGCTCAAGGTAATGATGTTGAAAATCCCTCCGAATTCTTGTGAATGACCTTGGAAGCTCACAGCAGCCTGTTGGGGGAGGATGCCAGCTTATCTCTCATTGGCTACCAACAGGGGCCCATATAGACCCACTTGGTCCCCGGAAGGGCGGGTCCCCGACAAAACCCTAAGAGGGTCCACGGGTTGCAAGGTTGCACCTGAGCAAGTCATTCTGTGAATCATCAAAGACTATGATATGTTGAACTTTGGGCCAGGGGTATAGTACCATTGATCTTGACTCGCAAGTTTTCAAAAACCCTGCTTTGATAGACTCACAAGCTACCAGGAAAGGAGTGATTGTTAGCACGTATTTCGCCCCTTCGTCCTCTTGGTCAAGGAGGCTTGGGTGAGTAGCTTCAAAATGACTAAAAGGTACGAGCCATACACCAAAGCACCATTATTTTCTGCCTAGCATTCAAATGTTTGGGATGGCTGTACAAAAGGTCTTCCCGCTTAAAGGAACGTTGAGAGACGGACCGGCCGATTCGTTCTACGACATCGGCTTCCTAATGGTTCTTCTCTTGTGGTCATTTGGCTGTCTATTACTGTCTTTGCAGTGGCAGCAATTATTCGGACAAAGCAATTTCCATTCAACGTTGGATGGTGGGCGTTCAGCTTCCCGCTCGGCGTCTTTACAACCTGCACCAACCAGCTGGGCCGAGAGATGCCCTCCACATTCATCAGAGTCCTGGACATAGTATGCTACTTCAACGCCGAAGTTTTCGTCTTCAAATGGCTAAATAACCCTAGATACTATTCGCTTTTTGTGTTCTATTATTGTGGCTTGTGGTATCGCTCTTCACACCGAAGGGTGTTTCAATCACTGTCTGTTCGTGGCACCCTGTTTGGGTGACTTACAGGAGTGCGAGCCTAAGAAGACCCGGAAATAGAAGCAAGGAGCGAAGGCATAGTCTTGATTCTCCGTTCCATAATGAGCATACCATAGTAAATGCGATAAATTACAACTTGATATCTTAACAACGGTGTCCTATTGGGGCTTTTCCTTTCATGCTGATGCTTTTTAGCTGATATCTAGCCTCTCTAGGGAGTTTGGAAAATATTTATGACTTTATGATTGTGATATACGTATCTTTAGCTTTTAGCAACGTAATTTTGGGTAATTTTGGAAATGATAATCATATAGCCTTCGACTTTCTCCGAGGTTGATATATAGTGTTAATAAGTTTTACCAACCGCTATCGGCTCACAATCAAATCAAATAAAAAGGTGGTTGTTGAGATATCAAGTTGTAATTTATCGCATTTACTATGTGTTCCGGACTGCGCTGCTCGCCCGGGAAATACGTTATCATGTTTCACTAACTAACGTATTTCACATACGAGTGGTCCACACAAACGAGTGGGCGATGCCCCAATGACATCATGGTCTCGAGGTTGTGACAAGGCCCCACATCACGATCTATGTAATTTCTCCCCTCTTCTCGTCTCGGTGAAAACTAGGGATACCGACAGATCGCCATACAAATATCCTCGCTGCTACTCCGTTCAGGAAACCATGTCACGTGTGTATCAAAGCGAGGGCGTTGTGTCAGAAGAAGGTGCTGGGACGTTTCTCGCGCACCTTCCCTCCGGTACGCCCGTTTACTGTTACAACCATCAGTGCGCTATGGAGAGCCTCTTTCCTCTGTATTCGGTCGAAGATCCTTTTATCGTCTTGAAACACTTTCCGGCAGAGATACTAGCCGAGTACGAGGAACAATTGCCAGGTCGCTGTGACTATTCGCCATCACTTCAAATTCTCATTATAACAATGCCTAGTCAACCACACGAAGAAGCGGCGTCCAGTTTTGAGGCAATGATTGTGACGCTCGCGCAAGAGATGAACGTCAACAGACGGATTGCGAAATGCGGAGCGACTCTTGTGGATACCCCTGAGCGAAGCAAGCAGGCAGACCGATCCTGGAAGCCAGCCCGCCAAGGGAGAGAATTGCCAACGGTGACATTAGAAGTTGGCTTTTCTGAGACAACACTAAAACTAGACAGGGACGTCGCTTGGTGGATCAATGGATCAAAGGGCGAAGTGAGAATGGGGATCATTATCGACATCAAAAGAGGATCTCACTCCATTGAAATCAAATCCTGGACTCCAGCATTCGAACCATCACTACGCAATATCTATATCACAGCAGGTGGCCGCCAGGTTATCGACGGACGCATCAAAGATCCACCGCCACCTCGAATGACTCAGAGAATTCTCATTACGAGAGGGAGAGATGGCTCCAGCCCTACAATTGAAGGAGAGCCCTTGACTATACCATTTCACACTCTGTTATTGGATGAGCCAGGAGAAGGTGAGGGTGATTTCGTGTTTACAGCGGAAATGCTGTTGTATGATTTAGCAGAACCTGTCTGGGATGCGATTGATGACGCCGAAACGATCAAGGCCAAGAAGAGGAACAATCATCACACTGCGTGATCAATGCAGCCTCATGTGAGATTGGGCTCTCTACACGCCTCCTTTTTTTAGTCTTCAGCCTAAACACCCCTACTCTTGACACTCATTGATGCCCTTGCTCATCCTTGATTTGTTCTTTTTACCAGTCTGACTTTGTCCACAACACTTTGCAACTACTATATCGCTAGCTGGTCTATCTTGCCAGACAATAGGAGAGAGAAAGAAACCAGAAAGCAAGCAATATGGCATTCATCAATCTTCTATAACTTTTTCTTCCACAAAAAGGCCGAGGAGAGGCCACCCACAGCGCTGACGCCTGTGATAAGCTCCTACATAATCTGCAATGCTGTGGCCGAGGCATCCTGATTCTGAATAACCTTTCTCTGATCATCCGACCAGATTAGAGAAGAACCACGGATGTCGTACCAACACGTTTTGGGAGCAGACTAGCTTCTTCCAAAACTACCTAGCGGGAAAACCATCCTATCGCTGCATCGCCTTTCCGCACCAGTATGGAGAGTCATCCGCGATACTCCATTGGATACCGTCAAGGCCGAATCTATGTATAACATGATGACGGAAATCTGTCCGTATTGCAATGTATGGTACAACTGGCAGAGTTGACAACTCTAACTAAAATGACAAAACCCGCTATTTCAACAATCTGTGCGGACATTGATGACTAACTGTATTATGCACTTTTGTATGGTATGCTCAGTAACAATTGTCACATGATTTTGCTGAGATCTGGCCGCTCAACCTGGAAATCTGCTAGATCTCAGCACGGTGATCTCTGGCTACAACGTTTGAAACAACCACCAGGGGAAGAATCTACTATCCCTTATAAATATCGATGCCCCACGGCATTTTAAGGAAATACTAGGATTAGCATACGGTACGGCAGTCGATTTGGGCCAAATTTGACAATGCTTATTAATACATATATAAGATTCACCGCCGGAGTTTCCGCCTTTTGTACCGTATAACATAATACATTCCGATTCCCATACTAACTATCCACGAACCTACGCCTATCAGTAATTCATTATCCCGGTATTTTTCAAGTACAACTACATATCAACTCACCTCATCCAAAGATTAACAGCTTGGCAGTACATCCTCTTGGTCTTAGGTACCCTTTTATCTTTCCCTCGGATAGAATCCTCAAAAACATAGCCGCTCTTTTATAGTTGACTATGGCGCTTGTCTTCGGTGATATCATCTTATTAAGTAAAGAACTGTTTTCTACCCATGGCCTATTTAATTTCCCACGCAATACAAGAAAATGGCTAAGAGACTGAAAGGATGAGGTAGAAAACAGAGAAAGGTATTATAGAGGATGGAAGCAGGAAAACAGTTCCAATTTATAATTCAGTAATTTGATATGACCCAAGACTGTTCTCCGGCACCTCCCCATGACAGATGGACTCTATGCCTTCCAGTTTTGCGTCATCATTATTACGTGCCAGTTCGCTCTGTCAAGAAAGAGTGCATTCCACTAAAAAAGCAAAGATGGGGAAGAAGAAGAGAGAGCAGGTAGGAGATCCCGGGGGTTGTCATACAAGAGGATCCCACAGGCAACAACCTCTCCTTCCCGATTAGGCTTAGTAGCTCTTTCTTGAACAAAGAAGATAGAACAAAGAAAAGAAATAAAACAAACAAAGAAAGCAAACAAAGGAAGAAAGCAAACAAGCAAACGATCCATGACATGTGATAAGCATGTGAGTTGTAGATCGTGACAATCATGGCTGAGTGCGCTATTTTTAAGAGTGGAATAAGACTGGAAGATCATGCACCAGAAATAGGAGGGGGGTGGTGAAAATTAAGGGCCATCAAAAAGTAGTCGCAGAGTAGATAGTACTATGGGGCAGAATGCATGCTTCTTTGGGTATGGTCTGAGTGTAGACGGGGTGCTCAATAGATAACCCTAAGCAGTCTGAGTAATCAGTGAGCGATCAGTGAGTATCCAATCAGACTCACTAAGCGCTCACTGAGCGCTCATTGGACCCCTCTGATCAATCACGTGACTAGTCTGAGCAGCTCAGTGAGTCTGAGCCCGGACTCAAATCTACTCAGTGAGCTTGATTGACTCTGAGCGCCCTCATAAAAGCAGCGGCAGCTAAGATAGGAAAGCCCCACCCGGCAGAGGAAATCAAGTACGTATAGCTACCTAGGTACGTACCCCGGGCGCCCGGGCGCTGCTCGGGGATGACTCATCAGGGCGCATCTCCAGGGCTCCAGGGCTCCAGGGCTGATGCGGCGTCGAAGTTATGCAAATACAAATCAAACTGAACACCATAAGATTTCAGTACTTCATTGCTTGCTTCGCATTCATGTGATGCACTTCGTACCGTGTCTCTCTGGCGTATTCAAATCGAGTTGTGTGCTATAGCATCACCACGTGTCTCCATTTCCGCCAGCTACATTTGCCACACATCCACTAGCCGTAATCTCGGATCGAGCCTTAACTCGACGTTGTCTCTTCACTAACATCACCCCAATGGATTCCCCTAACCAGACAAGCACAGCTGCAGCTACCTCAGTTGCATGTCTCAACTGTCGCGAGAAACATCTCAAATGTGACGGTAATCCAGAGGGATGTGACCGGTGTCGTGCTCTATCACTCTTTTGTCACTTCGTTCCATCACGTCGAGGGCGGAGAGGACAACCGAGTGAATTTTCATGTCTCGATATGTGTTATGTCCCGAGCATTGAAGAAACTTCCTTTATCCATGATGCCTCATTACCCCTTATGGCTTCGAGCGACCTTTCTCCAACCTACGTGCCAGAGCCCCCACGGAGTTTACCACAAATGAGCATCCATTTGATTAAAATATTCTATGAGTGCTTTCACGTTGCGCATCCAATATTAGCGCCCTTCGATCTCTGGGTTATGTCTTCACCACCTCAGTACCTCGTGAACATCGTCGAGTTCATTGGGTTGCATCATCTCTCGCCTGGCCGAACTCCTGAATGCTCAAACGATCTTTTGACGGCCACTGACAACGCTGAGCTGGACTTGGAAAAAGCGCAAGCATATCTTCTTTTGAGCATCCTATTTCATGGCCGTAAAGCCCCTGAATGCGCAAAGAAATGCGTTGGCTTGGCTATTGAATGTAGCTTCAGGCTCGGACTCCATTGCCGAGAACTCTCTGATACCGTGGAGATGCAGAACACTGCTCGCGCTGAAAGTACGCGGCGGACATTGTGGGAGATTTTCACGGTGGATACTCTACTCGCTGCCGTGCAAGTCGGAGGCACTTTGCAATTCAACATGGACACGCCTGACGTGCCCCTGCCATCTGAAGACGAGAAGTTTGTGGGCGGTCATTCTGGGGTCTTCTCCATATCTGCGAAGGATCTGGGCCACCGGGCATTCTCTGATGATGATCGCATCTCAGCACTTGCTTATCGTGTCGAGGCGACACTCATTCTGCGACGATGCCTCATCGCCTGCGAGACACATGCTAGTGAAGACGCAGTGGAAGTACTAGACTCAATGTCCTCGGCTTGGTTTCACCGATGGCCCAGCGACCACAGCACTATTCTCCAGATGGATGGAAAAGTGAATCAAATTGACTTCCAGTCGGCTATGATCATGCATTGCGCCTCTATTTACTTACATTTTCCGAGATCATTCTTGGTCTCCTTCCTCCCAAATACCGGCGAGGTGTTTTGTTCTAGGCCTCCACCTATAGCATCCCCCTCGCCCAATGCGCAAATGCACACAGCGAAAATTGTCAACGCAGCTGTTGAACTGTCCAAACTCGCTTCCCTTTCTACTTCTGTGACCGGTCATTCTCCTTTCTTTGCTTGTACTCTCGTCCTCAGCTCTATAATCCAGGTCACTGTGCTGGCTGCCCCTATCGGGCAGCCATTTGGGAAGCATTACTCATATTTGGCCTTGAACATAGGTGTTCTCAAATCCATGGGCGGCGTGTGGAACATCGCAGCCTCTTCTGTGGGGAAACTCCGATCCATCACACGCGAGGTTGAGGCAGCCTCTGCCGATGCAGGTCACGAACTCGTTGGATCCATGTTTATTCCTCCTATCCTTAAAAAGTGAGATTGCTTCCTACGATCATGCTCGCTTTCACTTAGCTATCAAAATATCACGTGATTCCAGTGCCAGGCTGGCGAATGTTTGAAGGCTGTAATCTCGGAATCCCAACTTTGCCGGTGAAGATATCCCCTGTGCGGTGCGAGGGACTCAGAAGATCGTCCTCGCCAAGAAAACTGTGGATCCCGCGGACCCACTAGTCGGCGAACTTGGCATTGAGTATCCGAACTTGTGAGTTTCGAAAGCGAGTCTCGTAAGGTAGGTTTGGTATTCCATCTTTGCTTGCAGATACCTGAAAACTAACGAGTCATTGTCGCATTTCCCGATTGAATCAGGCTTAACATGACTTGGCGCAGCACCAAGATGATTGCATATACGCCTCGAAAGACATCCACCCAAATTTAGATTAGGTCAGCAATTTGGCTGTGATTCTACACAGGTATGTCAATTAAAACCATAGAATGTGGTATGCTTTATGATAGCCCTGAGCCAACAAATGCTATTGGAGACATATTGCCCAATCTATGATAGCGTCCGAATATACCCTCGGGCCCAGAGATTGGAGCACCTACTATCTAATTTTATCTATTTAATGCTCAGTGTTGGGACACACATTCAATCTTCAAACCCAGGTCTCCACACCGTACCCATTTCTGAAACTGAGAGCGTGCTGGGGTCCTTCGGCATCGATCTCATAGCCATAGGCGCAGCGACCAAAGGAGACCTTTGGCTGGGACTGATAGAAGTGATCATACCTATCATCCAATGCATCTCTGAGGCTCGTCACTGAGCCGTCCGGGTGTAGAGTATTCCAGGGCTTGATGCATTCGGAGCCAACGCATGACTTGAGTACCATGAGAAGGGCATCCAATCTTGGAACTACTTCCGACATTGGATATCCAAGGATATCCACCTCTTGGGCATCTCTGGTCCAAAGATTTTTCACCTGGTAAGGGTCCGTCTTTGAACATTTGGTCAGCGGAGCCAATCTAGCTACATGGGTCCAAAGAAAACTTACAGTCAAGTCATAGAGCTCATGCTCGTTATTACACCACACGGAGTAGAACAAGTTATAGTGAGCGGCAAACAGACGAACAGCCTTGTAGGTGTTGTTGGGTACAGTGGGGGTCCCTATAAGCATTAGTATTAAATACACCGAGCGGAGCAACGCGCAGACCTACCAAGATTTGAATAGCCACCTTCGAGCATCGCCTGTCCCCAATACTCAACTGCGACGTGCTCATGGAGATCTCCAGTGGTCTTGGAAGTTGGCATTGGTGTTCCATCAAAGTCAGATCTCGGATGAAGCCCGGCGAGCTGGAAGAGCGTGGGAGCAATGTCAATATGCGTGGTAACAGTGTTCTCCACATGGTTCTCTGGGATACCAGGCCCGCGCATCATGAACGGAACTCGGATATCTTCGTCAAAGCCACAGGTTTTCCCGGGAGGAAGCCGATGTTGGGAGATATGGAAACCATTGTCCGAGGTGAAAATAATGAAGGTATTGTCGATCTTTCCCGATTTTTCGAGACGTGTAATGAGATTGTCAACTAGCTCATCGACACCCTGAAGAGCACGAAGTCGCTGGCGATAATAATGGTCATTGTAGTCTATCACGGTCTGATTTCGGTGTGGAAGGTCATGAATCCAACTCACGCCGGTCGGCTTTAAAGGGATTCTGTTAGAATACTGAAACTCAACATACTATTAATAAGAGGCACTTACGTGTTTGGGATTAAAGTTCGCTGTTCGAGGTACTTTCGCATCTGGGAAGAGATGCTTATGGTGTTCTTCAGGAATGGGCTCGTCCATCCACATTGGACCGGCACCGCCTCCATACGTCCCATTCATGTTTGAATGCGGTGCAATAGGTGTCACAGTCATGAAGAAAGGTCGTTCGCCAGCTATAGCATCGTCTAGAAATCCCATCGCCTTCTCGCGTAGAACCTCAGTCGTGTGACGGCCCAGGTAGTTGACAGGCTTTTCATGATTCCTCTGGTACGTGGCATTCATGTAGTCATAGGTGTAAGGGTCCAGAACAAAGTCTGATCCATTGAAGCCTGCAGCATAAGGACTAGCATAGTTCTCAAGAGAGTGTCCGTTCATCAGTTTTCCGGTGTAGTAGGTATCATAGCCCGCCTGTTGCATCCAAACGGGAAGGTAGTTCTCATTAAACCCGCCTTCAACGAACTTGGGATATCCCCCTAAAAATATCCGTCAGATGTAAATCAAGAAGAATTAGAAAAGATCTGGCTTACCCCAGGGTGGGTTGACATCGGTTACGTTCGTATTATGTGCCTGGCGCCCAGTGAGCAAACTGACACGAGACGGACAGCATATAGCGGTAGTGACGAAGTGGTTGGCAAAGGTTGTGCCTTTCCTTGCCATATGATTCATAGTCAATGGCGTATAGGAGAGAGAGTCCAACATCAGATCCTGGTCGTCGGTCATGATAAAGAGAAAGTTGGGCTTTGACGCAGCGAGAAACTGGGTTGACATATTGGAATCCTCATAAGAGGCATCTGTAGCCAAACCGGCTACCAAGCAGCCGAAGCTAAGGAGGATTTCCAGCTTCATTCTCGCTGCAATTGTAAGGTTCTAAAAAAGAATGAAGTGTGTTGATAGTGAGTATGGCCATCTTTGAGCACTTTATACTCGGGCCCTTTTCTGCTTATCCTTTTTTTCAAGAATCCAAAGCGGTGGGCCCTTCAATTAGCTTCGCCATGCTGTCTGTGGAGAATACGAGATAGATGGGTAATCTAGTTGCCCTGTCCAAAGGGAAGTGTAATACACGAGACGAAGGTGATATCTAGCCTCCTGACAGCCCCACAAATTCGGCGAGGTCTCACGGAAACCGAGGAGACTTCCACACAAAGTTTTTCGAAAGTTATTTTGGAATCCTTGGAATCCTTCGAACCCGGAGAGTCCACTTTCACCTTCATTCTCCAGGGAAATTTCTAATGGGCGTGCGATATTGGGGAGGCCTCTCATGTGAGAACTAGCCTCACCTGGTTGAATTTTGACCGAAAATGGAGCTGTTGAGAACCAAATACAAAATATATCCAAGTCAAAACAAACGCCTAAAAGCGACTGTTCAAAAATATTGATCCTATGGCCTCACCCATATACGCCTCTATATACAGTCTACACCGCGATACAGTTCCAATGGAATTTATCTGGATTTTGAATTTATGGGGATTTCAAACCAGCAGAATATTATGTCATCAAGAGGGTTCCCTGGCCAGATCAAATCTGGAAGGTCACTTAACATACTTCAGTGACTGCGGTAATGATTATCTGGACCATGTTGTACTCTTGGACTACCTAAAAACATGCGAAACTAGAGTTGTCCGAGCACTGTGTTGAAGGAGCCGTTGAATTTTGAGATTAAGCTGAACCAATTTCAACAGCTAACTCGCACTTGATGTCCTTCACGCTGGTCCCCACAAAACATCGGTAATCGCCTGTGTCTACCCTCCAAGATGCAATTCCTTCATCGTACCACCGGAACTCGTCACTTTTGATGACAATGCTCGAATCTCGCGATTCCATTGCAGGTACCCACACCTTGGCGAATCCAGCCAAAGTCTTGGGGTAGCTGACCAGCCCTCTTTCGCGAATACAGACCGATGGTGAGACATACACCTGGACTACTTCATGACCATCGCACTGGCCAGTATTGTTGACCGTGACGTGAATAGTAACATGAGATCCAGGGAAGGTAGTCAATATACCACTAACGTGGATGTTGGATAGTGTGAAGGACGTGTATGACAAACCAAATCCAAATGGCCATTGTGGTTCAATTTTTCGCTCCTCAAACGATCGATATCCCATCAGTACCTGTTCGCCAAAGACAGCATGGTCCCGCGCCGCTTCAGCAGGGAACCAGTCGCTTGAACCATGATCGCCCAAGCTCTTTGGAAAGGTAATTGGTGTCTTGCCAGAGAAGTTGCAAATTCCAAGCAGCGCGTTTGCCAGGGCAGGGCCATTCTCTTGGCCTTGATACCAGCCCAACACAATAGCGTGCGCTTGATCTGCCCAAGGCATGGTGGTTGCACTAGCGGCTTGGACAACAACCACAGTGTTGGGATTGGCAGCACAAACAGACGAGACGAGTTCATTAGTCCGACCTGGCAAATCCATGTTCGGTCGATCGCCGCCTTCACCCTCGGAATCCTTATTATGACCGACAACCAGGATGGCCACATCCGACTCCCGTGCAGACTTCACAGCACGATTCAGCATCTCTGTCTCGTCCACCTGCAGGGACAGTCCGATGCGTAGACCGGAAATCCTAGGAAAGACTGTGTTGTCAAAAGACTCCATAAGCGGTAGGGTGACGACGTTGTCTACTCGCAAGGCGTATGAACGGTTAGAACTCAGCTCAACAGAACATGTTCGGTCTTCACTGGAGCAGCCAAGGAAGCCCCCGGTGGTCGTCGTCCAGTCAGTGTTGTCAATGATGAGCTTTTCATCTAAGAAGAGCTTTGCCTTGCCAGTGTTTGCAATGCTGAACATATATTGGCCGCAGACCTTGGGAGTGACAACTCCACTAGCCCTGTAGCAATACTCCTTGCCCATAAGTGACTGAGGTACATCACCATCGCTCATCATATAAGTCAGGGAATTGGCCCAGAAAGTTGTCGCCACAACGGGGCCTTGGAATTCGTGTCCAGCGAAGAAATCCACCTGAAGTCCCGGCTTTGAACCGCCAGGAATGGCAAGGGTATTTCCAAGGAGACCTGGGCGTAAGGTAAACGGCACCCCCTGTTCATACGAGATCTCAATCGCTGGGTTAGCCTTTTGAAGGGCATGTTTGAGGCATTCTTCAGGTGTAGTGGTGTAGAAAGGGTTTACCGCTGCACTACCGGCGCCACCTGTAGTCGGCTTGCGGGCATTAGGTCCGAGAATAGCGACTCTTTTCAATGAAGATGGCTGGAGTGGGAGAATATCGTCGTTCTTCAAGAGAACCAATCCGCATTCTGCGGCCTCTCGCACGATCTTAGGGAACTCTGTGCCATTGGACACCTCTTCCGAGCTCCGGACATTTGGCTGTGAGGGTAGAAGGTTCGCCTTCTCTAGCAGTTGCAAAACTCGTCGAACGCTAGGGTTCAAATGCTGCGCTTCATCGACCAGCCCCTCGTGGATGGCAGCAAGGAGACGTTGGCCGCGCCGAACAGGTGGACCAGGCATCTCGAGGTCGGTGCCGGCGATCAAGCTCTGAACGGTATCATTACAGCCTCCCCAGTCACTCATGACGAGTCTGTCAAACTGCAGCTCGTCCCGCAGCAGTTTTGCCAGGACGAAGGAACTCATATCCGCGTGGATACCATTGACCAAGGGATAGCTGACCATCGCTGTCCAGGGCGATGCTTCGAGGGCCATGAAAAAAGGCTTCATGTAGACTTCCCGCAAGGTACGCTCATCAACAGTCTGATTGACATTGAAACGGCGTGTTTCAGTGTCGTTGAGGATGAAATGCTTCATACAAGCACCGACGCCTTCACTTTGGATACCATGGATCATTTCGGTGGACATGATACCGATAAGGAAGGGGTCTTCTCCATAGCCTTCAAAGTTGCGGCCGCCGAGTGGCGAGCGTGAGAAATTCATTGTTGGCGCCAGAAGCACATGACAGCCCTTGCGGCGGGTTTCTTCGCCCAAGACAGTGCCAACTCTCTTCACCATTGAAGGATCCCAGGTAGCCGCTAGTGAAATAGCACAGGGTACCAAAGTAGTCAGAGAACCATCTGTCCATTTGGTGCCTCGAGCACCCGCCGGACCATCTGTCATTTGGAGAGGCGGAATCCCCAATCGCTCAACCTGGGCAGTCTGCCACATATTTTGGCCGGCTACTAAAGACACCTTCTCTTCGAGAGTAAGCGATTCGAGGAGTCTTTTGACAACGGTGCTGATAGTATCGGGAGCCATGGTCTTGAGTGGTTTTCAGTATGGCACTACCAGAAGAGATGAGTAGACATAGAAGATGTGCTGTGTTTACAACCAAATGGCAAGTTCTTTATTCTTCACTTATCTGAGTTGATTGACCTCGTCGTAATTGTGGATCACGTTTCATCAGGACCTGCTCTGCTGTACGGAGTATAATGTAGTTGAGCGTCGGCGATAATGTGGATACTCAGTTCCTGGCTGATACTCCGCTCGGCGAAGTAGTGGGGCCTCATTTTATACATATGTACATCTTTTGCCTTTTACTCTCTTTTGTCTTTTACTCTCTCGTATTTTCCTGGTTTGGCCCCATATCTCCAGTTTCCAGTCCCCGCATTCAAACTCCCCACGATGCCGGGGCAATCTTTTGACGATCGTTGGGGGGCGGTAGAGGTTGGGGAAGTAGACATACACTGAGGGTGTGATGAGAAATTGCAGGTCGAACATGGTGTTGTGATTTTGATCGCGTGTATGTTTTGATTGAATATCCATACTGATATACGACTCGTCATCAAAGAGACCTTTGCTTACGCCTGTCCCGCTGGTGACTGTGGCATCACGAGGAGTTCCACAGATACCAAGCCACCATACATCTAATAACCAAAAAGCAGAAGTAATTCTAGGAAAGTTAGGCGACTTCTTCTACCAATTGTCCAATTGGATGGGTTCTTCGCTCCATACCTCTATAAGGGTGGACCAGGCGAGTTGGCATGTAAGTTGAGCCCTTCGATAGGCTCCTTGTGCCTTAAAAGGCATCGATTTCCTCCAGCGCAGAGATTCAAACCCAAGAATTTTGTCCCAGGAAGCGTCGAATCATTTGCCCATTTCCATATTCATACGGCTGATTCATTGGCACCATTCATTATGACACAAGCAGAAGCTTCAGGCGATTCAATAATCCGGAATTTGCCATGGCTTATCTGGGTGGTGGTCATTTTTGGTTCCATATCCTCCGCTGGGTTTGGTTTTGACCAAGCCTGGTGGGCAAGCCTGATGAGCTCTCCTCAGTTTGCTCAAAATTTCGGCATCCTTGATCCCGCCACGCATACATGGGCTCTGACTTCTCAACAACAGTCACTCGGGACCGGGCTTGGCTATGTTGGAGTTATCCTCGGAATTTTCTGCGGCTCGCCCATTAATGAACGGCTTGGAAGAAAGAATACTCTTTGGGTTCAAAGTGCCATTGTCACAATTGGCATCGTCATCGAGTCTACTTGCAAAACAAGCTACACACAATTCATCGTCGGCAAGCTCATCGTCTACTTGGGCGGAGGCATTGCCACTAGCGTCATCCCTGCTTACCAGGGAGAGTGCGCTCCGGTGTCCTTACGCGGCTTAATGTCCGGCACATACAACGCTTTCCTCATGGTCGGTGGTCTCGGTGCCGCTCTGACTGTGTATCTGTGCCGGCATATCCCTAACGACTGGGCATGGCGTGTGGTAGTGGTTGCTCAAATTGCCATTCCCGCCGCTGGCTGGGTCAGTCTGCCCTTCTTGCCAGAGTCACCTTACTGGCTTGTATCTCGTGGACGACTCGATGAGGCAGTCGTAGCCCTTCGTCGCCTACGAGGACCATCCTTCCCAGCAGAGGCTGAGGTAGTCGCCTTGCAACAGCATTTACAGAGGCA